ACGTGGGGGCCCAAAAAGCAGAACTTTTGTTTTTTCAAGAGAAGCCAAGGCTTGAAGTTTTAGGAGAATTTGCCCATTTTCAAATATTGGTGATTGATTCAAATTGTTTAAAAACACAACAGGGGCCAAACCAAAGCAGGTCTGTGGTTTATATTTAGGCTGGGTGTAGCCTATGGGTTTGCACCGTGGACTCTAACCACAGGTGTTTAGTTCCCCAGCCTGTGTCCTTCAGTGTCCTGATTTTGAAATGTGAGGGGCCCATAGCTAGAAACCTCCTGGGGGCGGCCTGGGGAAGTGGGGTCTCTATGGACCAGGGTCAGGTCCCAAGCTTTGTAGAAGCAAAACTTCCATTTTGTTAGGACCCTATAAGAGTTTAGTCTTTGGAGACTGCCTGCCACAGTCTCTTCTCAGGAGACCGAAGGAGAAACCAGAGGCCACATGGGTCATTTAGAAACAGGAAGTGATGTTTCTGCCATGACCACGCAGTTCTCCAGAGCAGCTCCTCTTGGGGGTCCACGTCCTAGGAGCCTCCCAAGGGACCCATCACAAAGGGTGGGAACTGGCCCAAAGATTATTTCCTCTGGGTCGTGGAGGGGCCTGGTGAACCTTCTCTGCCCCATGTCGGGTGTGCTTTGCTGGGGCCCAGGGTCCATCTGGCTTCCTGATGTAGCATCTCATATGTTTCTTCCCAAAGCTGGAGAAGCCTCACCATTGTCCTGGCTGTGAGCTTCCATCCTGCCCTGGGCCCTGACCACCCCATCTTTCCCCACCAAATAATAATAATCACAGATACTCTTTATGTAGCATCTCTTCTCCAGGCACTATACTCGGTGTTTTATACACACTCTCTCATTCAATCCTCATAACAACTCTATGAGGTAGGAGCTACTATTGATTCCATTTTCCAGATGAGGAAACTGAGGCTCAAAGAGGTAAGGTGGCTCACCCAAGATTTCACAGCCAACATATGTGTGTCGTTGAGTGTTCAAGCCATAGCAGACACTCCAAGTGGAACTGCTGACATTTAGCAGGGACTGCTGGTATGGCCTTACCATTGACGAAGACCAAGATCCTTTTGGATTGGTGCTCACACCATGCAGTTGTTAAATATTCTGAACATCTTCCCTGTCTGTGGGCTTCCAAAGTCTGGAGCCTTGGGCCGGCTCCATGGCTTAGCAGTTAAGTGCGTGCGCTACACTGTTGGCGACCCGGGTTCGGATCCCAGGCGCGCACCGACACATCGCTTCTCCGGCCATGCTGAGGCCGCGTCCCACATACAGCAACTAGAAGGCTGTGCAACTATGACATGCAACTGTCTACTGGGGCTTTGGGGGGAAAAAAATTATAAAGTCTGGAGCCTTGATGTTGTTTCTCCCATTAACCTCTAGGGATGACCAATCCTGAGGTGATTCAGAACCTGGAACGAGGTTACCGCATGGTGCGACCTGACAACTGTCCAGATGAGCTGTACCAACTCATGATGCTGTGCTGGAAGGAGCGCCCAGAGGACCGGCCCACCTTTGACTACCTGCGCAGCGTGCTGGAGGACTTCTTCACAGCCACAGAGGGCCAGTACCAGCCCCAGCCCTGAGAGGCCTAGCTGGCTGGGGCCTGGAGCCCTCCCCCATCTAGCCAACCCAGCTCTGGGAGATAACAGTTCTTGTGTCATACCCATGTGGCCTATGAACGTACGGACTCTGCACCACGTGAATCCCGCCCATGCATGACACACGCACTTCTCGTGTCTTATACACGGGTTCTGTAGTTGTGTGGGCTCTGCACATGTGTCTTGTACATGTGTGCCCTGTGCATATATGTCTTGGACACTTGTCCCTTTCTGGACCCTCCCACTTCCGGAGACCACCAGAGAGAGGAGCGAGGCCTGTGATTGACACCAGCTTCTGCTCGCCCCCTTTTCCTTTCCCCTGGTCATCAAGAAGCTCCTTGAGGGCCAGGACTTTATCTAATACCTCTATGTGCTCCTCCTTGGTGCTTGGCACACATCAGGAGCTCAATAAATGTCTGTTTGTTGATGAAGATTGTACATCTCTCTGCTCCCCACTCCCATCTCCTCTTCCTTGGGAGGGGGGAGGAGCATTCAGAAGATGGAAACTGAGTCACCCTGAATTGGGGTGAGAGATAGAATAAGGGATGTGTAAACTTTTTCCAGCCCTGCTGATGTTAGGGGCCAAGAGGAGGTCACTTGCTACTACACTTTGCTGTATGGACTTCAAACCACTACCCCAAAGGATTAAGAGTGACCATTACCCAGAACCTCCTAGGGAGTGGGTGTGTCCCAGGACTCTCCCCCCTCCCATTATATAAGGGCACTAGCATTTTTTACAGCTACGGACTCAAGGGCTATATTTGGCCTCAGATATGTTTTGATTCACTTTCAAGATGTTTTTAAACATTGAGTTAGTTCACTCATTTAACAAATATTTATTGAGCATCTACTGTGTGCCAGGCATGGTTCTGGGTTCACAGGATATATAGTAGATAAAATAAACAAAATCCCTGCCCCTTTGGGGCTTACATTCTAGTAATGGAAGACAGACAGTTAACATCACAGAGAAGTAAAGGATATGTATGCTATAGGTGATGAGTGCTCAAGGGAAAACAACAGGGTAAGGGGAATTAGGACTGTCATGTTTAGGGGAGGTTTGCAATTTTAAAGAGGGTGGTCTGGGAAGATCTCATTGAGAAGGTGATTTTCGAGCAAAGATTTGAAGGAGGTGAGGGAGTGAGCCACGTGGTATGGGGGAGGGTCTGTCAGGCAGAAGGAACAGCATGAAGCAGAAGCTTGCCTGGCAACTGCAGAGAGGTAACGACAGCCTGAGGGAGGGGTATAGATCCTATGCGGCCTGGGGCCTTGTGGCCTTTGCAGGAGCTATTTTGAGGAGCCTTTGCAGGGCTTTATGCAGAGCCTGACATGATCTGACTTATATTTTAAAAGGATGGTTCTTACTGCCGGCTTGAAAATAGACTGAGTTAGCAGTCAATTTATACTACTGGTGAGATTTTGCATAAAACTCCAGATTTCTGCCTTCTCTTGAAAAAAACAGGAGGATTTGGCTCCGTCAGGCTTACCTGTCCTCATGGAGCTGATAGTGGCCACCCTCTTCAGGTGGGGCATGAGCTCTCTCTTTGCCAAAGTCTCCTCCACTCCCTATTGCTCCCAGACAATTAAACTAAGTGTTAGTAGCTATTTATTATCGCGCTCGTGCTGTTTTTCTTAGAATAAAGAGGAAAATGAAATGATTTTTTGCACCCACATTTCCATTAAAAAGAGAAAATTAAAGATACCTGAAGATGGCAGTGTGTTTGAAGAAAGGTGGGGGAAATGCATATTTATTTATGAAAGCAAAAAAGAATCCAATTTTGAAAATATGCAAAGTGACAGAATCAAACTAATATAAATAATATAATATGAATCCACTCATTTACATCACCTGCTTGATCTCCTTAGGCATCTGAGTTTGAGATTCCTGTTCTACATTTTATAAAATGCTGCCACACCCATGACTTCAACTGATCCCCACTCTCCTCCTCATTTGGACAGTGTAGCCATAGAGTCTGTGAACTTTTTATTCTCATCCTCCATTTTACAAAGAGGGAAATGGAGGTCCAGAAAGGTTCCTAGGAACACAGAAGCAGCAACACAGAACTGGGAATAGGGTGTGTTCCCTGGCCCTGGCCCTTTGCTGTTTCTATAGTAGAACTGACCCGTCTTAGATCTTCTGTTACCTTTATCATTAATGACCCCAATGCAGTTCCCAAGTGAGGAACACAAGTGTCCAAGCACTCTTTAAACTGTAAAGAGGAATAAAAATGTATCTTATTGACTATAGGACCATGAGTGAGTAACTTATTTGGCATATAGTAAGCACTCACTAAATATTAATATTGTTGTAATTGTTATTTTAATAGCCCATCATGGTGCTTTTCAGTCTTTCAGCTTTCAGTAATGACCAGTTGACGACTGATCATCAGTGCAGTGGTTCTCAAGGGGAGAGTGGGGGGTGGGGGTGCAATTCTACACTCCCTCCAATCCCCTCCCCCCTTGCCCGGGAGACATTTTTGCAATGTCTGGAGACAATTTCAGTTGTCACAACTCAGGGGATGTGCTACTGGCATCTAATGAGTAGAGGCCAAGGATGCTGCTAAGGTTCCTACAGTGCACAGGATAGCCCCCTCCAATAAAGAATTATCCAGCCCAAATGTCAGTAGCTTCAAGGTTGAGAAACCCTGCTCCAGAAGAGGACAATCAATTTCCTCCTTTTTAAAGGCACTCCTTCTGGGTGACTGCATCAGGAAGGTAGGCTTTGGAGTAAGAAAGGCTGGGTTCTGCTACTTTGTTACAGCCTCTGGTGCATAGTAGGCCTTCAAAAAGTCTGTACAGTTGAAAATTGAATTTAATTACTAATTGTGCAATTCTGAGCAAGTCACAAAGGCCTGAACTTCATTATGCTTATCTGTAAAATGGGGATAAAAAGCCCTACTCCAAAGCTGTTGTGAGGCCTGAGATAACCGAAATAACGCTGGTAAAACTATTGTACAGTACTTGGCCTCCAGCAGTTTTCTTTCGTTTGTCAGATTACCCCTCCCTCCTCCAAACTCAGGTTCTAATCCAGGTTCAGCCCTTTTGTGAGTTAAGTGACCTTGTGCAAGTCACTTTTCCCCCATAGGCCTCAGGTGATTCTTTGTAAAATTACAAAATTGACCTCTGATCACCAACCCCGAAGAGGGACTGCGAACTTTACAGACCGCTTTCCTCCCCCGGGACTAATGGTACGGTCCCCGGGCAGCTTCCCCCACCCCCCTGTCGTCGACCTTGGTACAGGCCCAGGGGGCCCTAGGCGGCCTCTCAGGGCTGCCCTTGCCCCCTGCCGAGTTCCGGGCCGTCCCTGCGCGAGCTGATTGGCTGGAGCGGTGCCCGGGCTGCGCGGCTATAGGTGAGCCCGGGAGGGGATGGGCGGAGCGCGCTGGAGGCCCGCCCCCTCCCCCCCTGGGTCGGACGCTGCGGAGCCGCGGGCGGGAGGACGGACGGACCGACCGACGGGAGGGACGGGAGGCGAGCAAGATGGCGCAGACTCAGGGCACCAGGAGGAAAGTCTGTTACTACTACGACGGTGAGCCCCGGCCTCGCGGCGGGGGCGGGGCCTGGCCGGGCCGGATCCCGGAGAGGGAGGCTGAGGCGATCTGAGGGGGGAGGCTGGGCGAGGCAGGGGCGTTGAGGGAAGGCTGAGAGAGGAGGCTGAGGGGAGGTCGAGGCTGAGAGAGGAGGCAGAGGGGAAAGGAGATCGAGGCTGCGGGACGAGGCTGATTGGAAGGAGGTCGGGGCTGAGCGACGAGGCTGATTGGAAGGAGATCGAGGCTAAGGGAGGAGGCTGAGAGGAAAGGAGGTCGAGACTGAGGGAGGAGGCTGATTGGAAGGAGGTCGGGGCTGAGAGGAGGCTGAGAGGAAGGAGGTTGGGACTGAGGGAGGAGGCTGAGGAGAGGAGATAGAGGCTTAAAGAGGAGGCTGAGAGGAAGGAGGCCGGGGCTGAAGGAGGAGGCTCAGAGGAAGGAGGCTGAGACTGAGGGAAGAAGCTGAGGCAGAGAGGGGGTCATCCGGGGAAGCCTGAGGTCATCTTGGCGGGGGGGAATCCTGAAGAAGGCTGATGTGGAGACTGAGGGGGACTCCTGGAGGGGAGGCTGGGTCTGAGGGAGGAGGCAGAATCTGATGGAGAAGGTTGCAAGGGTGTATGTTTCCTGCTGAGAAGACAAAGGTCTCCCCCGTGCCTTCCCTGCCTCCTCTGTTTTGGTGAGAGTCCTGCGGGAATCACCAACTCGTGGTCACCGGCTTCCCCTCCCCCCGCCTGCGAGCAGGGCCTGCAGTTGCTGCTGGGAAATGGGGCCCCTGGGGTTGGAGGGAGAAGGATGCAACCTATTAAAACAGACTTTTTCATGTAACAGAAATCTGTCGACCAACTTGCTCTGTTCTAGGGAGTGTTGAGGTGCTGGGGCCATGGGAGGATCAGGTCACTTCCCATCTTCGTCTCAGTCGGGAGGGGAAGACAGACAATGACGGAGAGCTGCTCTCCAGTATCATGGCGGGATCAAGGAAAGCACAGAGGGGAGGCGCTCGGCCCGGCATGAGGAGTCAGGGAAGGAGGTGCCATCTCTTAGGACCTGAAAAACAGGAGTTGTTAGCCTGGCACAGGGAAGTCCAAGATAACAGCAAGTTTAGGGGTAAGAGAGGACAGCACCTTTGGAAAACAGCAGTTGTGTGTAGAGTATGGCTGAGGCCTAGATCTGAGGGCAGAGCGCAGAGGGTAGGAAGCAGGGGCCAGGGAAAGGTTGCCAGTGATGAGGCTGGCGAAGTAAATGGGGACTGGATCCTGAAGGGCTGGGCGTACTGCCCTAAGGAAGTTGGACTTTATTCTGAGGGTGCTTATGAATCATTGAAGTTTTATGCAGGTTAATGACATCATCAGATTTATACCTTAGGACAGAAATTAAATTCATGAACGCAGGGGTAGGGAAGAAGGTGAGAATCCCAAGTTTCTGGTTTGGACAGTTTGATACAGAGTGTTTGAAGGCCATGTCAGTTGATAACTGTTTTTTTTTTTTTAAGAAAAATTCGTTGATATGTCTGGGGGCTGTCCGAGTTTTTGGGTGTCCAGTAGGCAGTTGGCCATTCAGGTCTGCAGTTTAGAAGAGAGCGATTTTTGGTAGTCATCAGCATACAGATGGTAATTTTAGTTACAGAAGAGGATGTGGTCACCCAAGAAGTTGTATGGGGTGCAAAGGGAAGAGGATCCAGCGTGGAATCCTAAGGAAGTGGACTGAGGAAAAGTCTAGTGCCCTTCATGCTCTGTCATAGCGCTTGTCACTGTGTATTGGAATTGCCCATTTACTTCTTCATACTTCTTACAGACAGTAAACTCCTTAGGGAAAGGGACTATGTCTTCTCTACCTTTGTATGCTCAGCCCTCAGAACAGTGCCTATCTCATAGTAGGCTCTCAATAAATACTTGTTGATTAAATGAACAAAGATACAGAGGGAATGGCCAGAGATGTAAGTGAATCCGAAAGTGTTGGGTTACAGTAGCCAAAACAGGGAGGGAGTGGCCTAGTGTTGGCAAGCACTGTTTCCTGTGCAGGGTTTGGAACTGAAGCTAGATTGCAGTAGACTGAAGAACAAATGGATGGGGGAAGAGGAGACATCAGGTTGAACCCTTTTTGAAGGAAGCTTCTCCAGGGCAGAGAGAGAGGGTTGTTGATAAAGGGGAGGTATAGTGGCTGAGAGTTGAATTTCCAAATTCTTATGGAAAATAGCCAGAGAGAAGGAGAGGTTGAAGATATAAGAGAGGGGCTAGTAATGATGGAGTTTTCTGAGACCAGGTGAGATGGAAACCAGAGCACAGTTAGGGACACCAGCCTTCAAGAGGAAGTTCCTTCGTGACAAGAGGGTAAGTGGCAAGGAAGAGTTCAAGTGTAGGTAGGTTTGAGGGGGAGAAGGTGGGGAGGAAGTTGAGGGAGTTTTCAAGATGAAGTAAGAGAATAGTCTTTTTCTTGCGAGTCGGGGAGGGCAGTTGGTAGAGTAGGAATCTTGAAGAGAGAGAGCGGTTCAATAGCTGTTGTGAAAGAGGGAGCTAGGAAAAGAAATTTGGAAGGAGTGCTGGGCGGTGGTGAGGGCCCATTTGAGGCTGGAGCCTATGACTTTGTAGCCATGTTAGTTTGCACAGTTGTGATCTCCACACACTCAGTTTAAAAAGAGGAAAAGTGGAAAGATCCCGGTCTTTAGAGAAGGAGACTTCTTTTTGAGAAACTTCTTGTGAGTTTTGCAGTGCGGTCACTAGCTTGGGACTCAGATTTGCTCTGCCACTCAGAAGCTTTGCAGTATTGGGCAAGTCACTTTACCCTTCCAGGCCTCAGTTCACTCTCCTATAAAACTGAAAAATTATGAAAATGGGGAAAAGCTCTTTAAAAGTTTAAAAGTAGTATCTAAGTAAAAAGGATTATTTCTTTTAAGTCTTTCAGCAACCTGATTAAAAACTCTTAAGAAAATGATGGTGTCTCTGGTCCCTACCCTCAGGTACTCCCTTAGCCTTTTAGATAAGGTATCTTAGTTCCCCAAGTCTAAGCCTTGGCTGGATCCACTCTTTTTTTTTTTTTTGTGAGGAAGATCAGCCCTGAGCTAACATCCATGCTAATCCTCCCCTTTTTGCTGAGGAAGACCAGCTCTGAGCTAACATCTATTGCTAATCCTCCTTTTTTTCCTCCCCAAAGCCCCAGTAGATAGTTGCATGTATAGTTGC